GTGTTTATAGAAAAGCACAAAGATTGCTATGTGAAAGGGACTGAAGCCGAGGTACCAGCTCAAGACCAATAACATTGCAGATATTTTATCAAAGATCTCTAAATATATAGCAGGAGGACTTGACCAGATGTGACAGCAATACTCAATGGACAAATGATAGACTTATAAATATGAGAGATAGATTCTGGAAAGAAAAATTGTCTTGCACGACACAGTGAACAAACTTTTCTGGCAGCAGACCGAGCAGTTGATTCAATATAATCTTTCCACTTAATGCGAGTGGAAAATGTTAGCCCAAGAAGGTGCAAAAGTCACTCTCCTGGAGGTTAGCATCAGCCATGCTGATGGATGGCAAGAAAGGAGTCTCTCAGATGATTTATAGAAAGCAGATTTGATTTGGAAGCGTTAAAATGAACAAGCCATTCCCTGCTCAAGTTAACAGCAGATTGTAGGTCATTTTTTAAGATCAGCTGACAATTTGACTTTATCGGACAAACCAGAGTTACAGTTTGTCGCGTCCCCTTTATGTTAATATCAGAGTGAATACAATTTTGATCATATTCATTTAATAAACCCGACCCATGATATCTATCACATGTTTATCATAAATATAAAAACAGAAGACGACGTACTTCTTAGCACATGAAGTGTCGGTCAGGAGTGTATTTTCGTTGATCAACACAGCATTGCACATCAGAAGAGGATCCATTTCTAAGGATGCTAGCCAAGGCTGGCATTCTGTTGAGATATCAGCGTTCCACATTTTGCCACCAACAGGATATTGTCCACATTCTGTAAATAAAATATTCAAAAAATCTTTCACTTGAACTATTTAAGAAGTCTATGTGTGTATGTCCCGAACGTACAGATGAGAAAAAAAAAAACTGTAATCAATATTTCACACATCAGCAACGAAACAATCAGAAAGAGACGATTGGAATTTCTAGGTTTCGTAATGAGAAAAGAGGGCCCAGAGAATTTAACACTCTAAAGACAATCGAAGTAAGGGATGAATAGGGAATAACTAACTTTAAAGAGTTTATGTGAATGAATATCAGAACAAGTTAAAAAATGCTAAAGTATTAAACATTGCTTTGAGCAACAGTAAAAAAGAAAGTGTGGAGCGCTATGATTTCCCACGCCCTCTCACATAGAAGAAAAAGTATTAAGCAGTACGACAGACATTGAAGTCTCGTCATTTTAATGCCATGTCTCTTCAGGACGTAGGCTATCTGGCACTCCACATGTTCCTTTTCTTTATTTTCTGTGAAATAACATGACTTCTTGGGAAAGATAGTGAAGTAGTTTCCAGTTGCTCCCACCGCGGTTTTTATTCTTTTAGACTGATCACCAACCAAGGCGAGAGAATCTAAACTTTCCTGCATTTAATTCATAGCGTAGAAGGAGAAAGAGATTCATGCCTTTTCCAAGGGCATTAGTGCGAAGTACGAACTAGTCCGGGATTTGAATTCGACTTGCTGAGACCAATTTCCTCGATGATATCTTTTATGCAAAAATTGCATTACATTGTCATTGAAAAGAAAATCCTTTATTTGAACATATTAGATATTTGCAAAAGTCCGTGCACGATTAGAAAATCAAAAGCAACATTTTACATATTCGCAAAAAATACATTTATTATTCAAGTACATAGTGGTTTAAACCCATGGACACTGTCTTTCATTGTTCTACAAGATTGTTGATGCCATTTTTGTAGACACTTTGTGTTTTTGGTTTGAAGAAGGCTGGACAGAATCAACTGTCTTTCTTTTTTTGTAATTTAAAATATTCTGTATAGACAGGAACAAATGAAAATACGAATGAGCCAAGTCAAGAGAAAAGTGATTCCACCCATTTCAACTCTTCAATGTTCTTGCACCCAAGTCTATTCAAATGGCGAAAATCAGTTGAGACGCAGATTTTTAAATTCTTAGTAATATCTTCCATCGAAGTCTTCGGTTTATTGTCCACGTAGAGCGTCTTCATCGACGTCGGAAGATCGCCCGGGGCGTGGTTGATTGTTTAAGTTAAAAATAACCCTGACGAAATTTGCCAAACCACTTTTTGATCGTCCTCAGAGCTGGAGCACGATCTAAATAAACATTTGGATTTTTTGTTTTGTTGAATTTTCGACGCTGACAGCTTTCCGAAATTCACAGAACATAATACGCCTAAAGTGTAACTTTTTATCCTCCATCTTTAAGGCATCCATATGCGGACAGAACATCAACAAAGTCCGACTCGCAACAAACCAGAAATTGGAAACAAACGCCAGTGTCAAGTTGCGGCCATTTCATATTAACAATGAAAATCGAGCATGACCTTTTGCAATGATCTAATATATTTAACGAATGATATACACCATAATAATGTTAGGGTGTTCCGAAAGTAATTACGTTTTACTGGAAAGGATATAAAAGAAAATATATGTTGAATTTATTATCAAATACGTAACAAACTACGTTTTCAACGATTGCAGCCTGACGGCAATTTTGCGCAATTAACACCGTTTTTTTACTCTATTTACATTGTTCAGACTGTTGTACTCATCTTTATAGACATATTTACGATGTTTCGGTCGTTGTACGCTCCGGCGTCATCTCAGAAATATAGACAGATAACACAATTTTATAACTTTGTTCATCTCTCTTACACGTCAAAAACGTTCTTTACTTTCATTACTGTATGTTTGAGTTTTTGCCCTCCCATGATTCGAAATATATCTTTACATTTCCTATTGATTTTGCTCATTAATCACGGTTTCAATATCAAGTTTTATAGATTTTGTATCAATGTCGTTCTTTTAAATGTAGCTTTAAAGTATTTGTCGAGGTTAAGTTCTATGGCGATATCGTCTGAAAATTTTTTTTAATGTTGCCAGAGTATCTTCTTGTTCTTATCACGTTTGACAAACTGTTTCAAATCATCCATGTTGAATAAGAGGATATTTATTCCTGAATAAAACAGAAAATGTTGCACAAAGCCGAAATGAGGAAGGGGGGAAAAGGTCGGTCTTTTGTCTTAACTTTAAACTTAGCTAGCCACAAACGCTGACACAATCATACTTACAATATACCTTGCACCAAAACAATACATTCTTATTTACCTTTCTCACGACACCCACCATAATACCTCGATGTCTCCATTAAAATGCTAACTAGTCCCCATATGTACAATATATCGTCTGTGGGGGGAAGGGAATAAAACAACAATTTAAAAATCCATGTTGAATAAGAGGCGAATAAAAGTATTGGATATGCAATATTTATTACCGACACAGTCGTAAGTAGACAAATAAAAAAAAAAACACACAAAAAAATAAGATGAAAATCAAACAAAAGAATAAAAAAATACTTAGAATAGCAGATAAAACAATTCAGTACATATTGGCCGCCCTGGGGCTTCAGAATACATACACCGACTGCACTTCTGTAGAGGGCTACTCCCCATCCAATAAACGTCTTCTCTCCTACTATAACAATGGAGTGCTCCTACTTATGGGACGTAGCCGCATTATAGTGGATATGAGGAGTAGTTGATTTACTCAAGTTTTTTTCCGTTCTATGATTATTTATAAACTTCTTCATTGTTTTCCTCTACCCAGTCTTTTGTACCTTCGATACCCTCTCTAACTACAGCCTCCTAATTTTCGCTTGTTCTAGGTATGACAATAAACTAGATCCGGCAGCAAGGCCTCTGATTGGAGAGTTTGAGGAGCGTGGAACCACCTCTTAATTCTTGCTAGGTCCACCCTGGGTGGTAGCACCTAACAAGTGCTACGACTCACTATTTTCCTATAGCTGGGACCTATAAGCAAAATACTGAACCCCCAAACTGTGATCAAAACGTAATGAAAATATAAAAATACTATTTTTATAGTAAAAATACCATCAATACGTTTTTGGAAAAAATATTACCAGCAATAAATTTAAAAAAAAAAGAAAAGAAAATATTACCAGCAATACATTTGACTCTCGACAAAAAACCTCATTACAAAAATACATCAAGGAAACCCGATCTACAAACTGATTTCTTACAAACAATACATATTCTTTTCATACGAATCTATTCTAAATATTTTATCGACATTAAATAACCCATTCAGGTGTTGGTATACCGTAAAACAAAATAAACCAAACTAGTGAATATTGGCCTGCTCTGCTCTATCTTTGAAAGAGCCCGTTTAGACCAAAAAGAATCCTGCTACCATTCCTGGAACTGCCTAATTCTTACTCTTCGGGTTTGACAGATTCATTCGTTTCAATACAGAATAAAAGGAAGGGAAACGAGTTTCCTTGAAATATCCCACTGTTGAATGATCACATCTAGTTTTACCATCAAGTTGAAGGAGGGTTATTCATTGATCGATTCGTTTTTTTTTACGGCTTGTCAACCCCTTTGCAGGTTATTTAAAGCCAGAAAATATTTGTCGTTTGTAACGTTTTTAGGAGCAGAGAATAATAGTTTAACGATATAAGTTCTACTTTTTAAACCATAGTTGAGGACAGAAGTGATGTATTATATCTAATCAGAATTTGATAAACAAACAAGAATTTATAATCTTAATATAAAGTGGGAGATCGATTGTATATTGCAATCAGTATGTAAATTGATCCCCCACTTTATGACGACTGTAGTTTCTATACATTTATATTCCAGAGAATGTAAATAAATCTTTAAGACATGGCTGTGTAGCTAATGAGTATTTTATTGAGTGATTGATTTGTTTTGACGGCTTATCAACCCTTTGCAGATTATTTAAAGCCAGAAAATATTTTAGATTGTGAGAACTTTTGGGGATGGGGAAATAATAATCGTTTTAGGGATGCAAGTCTTACTAATTAACCCATAGATGGGGAAAGAAGAGATGGATTCATACTTTTCCCAAAGGCATTTTCACATAAGTGAATATAACAAAGTAATGGGAATTAGAATTCGGCTCTCCGATTAACATTTTTCGAGCGATTGTTCATTATACCACCCGCCAATTCAAGCTTAAAGCATTTGGCATTCCCAAGCGGTAACCCATCTAAGTAATGACTAGAATCAACGTTGCTTAACTTCAGTGATCGTATGGGAACAAGTGTTTTCCTGGTTTCCTGACGGGAGACTAAAGTCACATTCTATTTTTTCATTCTTATAGAAAATTAATAAAAAATGACAAACTCTTCATTAATTCTAGTGCCATCATGTTCCACTTATGTGGGATACGATCAAAAGCCTTTTTTTTTTATTTTTCCAGTGACATCTTGTTAATCAGAAACTTTGCTGCATTTGGTTTCGTTATTTTACGTTTTAACCTGCAGTTCTGATCTTCGTTTTTTCAAGTTCAGTCAATCCCCCGGCTCTAGTCGTAGAAATATTTAAACTTGGATTTTCTTATATAGTTGTTTTAGAGATAACCGTTTAAGCATATTTTTCCCTTTGTAGCTTCCATCGTCTTTTGTGCTTTCAGAAAAGGGAGGTTCGTTGTATATTTTACACTTGGGATATTCTTTGTCCTTTTCCATTTTCACATGTTCTTGTGTATGCCGTTTGGTCTCCCTTACAGTTTGCGCCTATCTGTATGAATTTTGGCATCTGTTGGGTTATTTCTCTCCACATTTTCTACATGCCCTTTGCCAATTACATTTCTCCACAAGGTGTTAATATTTTTTTCTCGTATAGCAACACCTGAGAAGATTTGGATTGCCTCTGTGTGTTTTCTAAAAATATTTTCATGGTAATTGTTCGGATGAGCTCTTCGCTATAATAGCTAGACTTTATGAATTTAAGCGTGGTGATAGACCGGCGCCAAGATCTTATCAATTTACAGCTGAGCCGTAAGTTCTATGCTAACAGTTTCTTTTATCACACTACTCGCATGTGGAACTCCATTTTGGCTCTGTTTTCCAACCAGCTTTGAAATGCGGAAATTTAAATCCAATGTCAATCGCTATATACTGTCCTCCTGATTACTCTTTTCTGTTTCCATTCATTATTAATGTTTTTTTTCTTAATTTTTCCACACCCTGTAATCCCTTGTATCTTAGGGACTTTACTACGTTGCATGGGGTGATACTGATTAAAAAAATGATTTCGTTTCTGGTTTATAAGGAGTACATTAGTTTTTTTCTCTCGCACCTCTTTATTTGGTCTGAGTTTTTCTAGTAATAGTCATTTTATAAATCCCTGGCTCATAGCAGAATACATTTCATTTACAAAAGTTCATCTTTATTTATACAACATTCTTCATTTATTAGCTTATTTTTGCTACTTCCGGTCTTTTATTAGCTTATTTTTGCTACTTCCGGTCTTTTATCCAAAGTCTATTGAGGTTTTCTGTTGTTGAATCTTTTGGTTCTCGATACCGAGCGTTAGATTTCCTTAATCGTCGCTTGTTTTCTTGTAGGCAAAAGGGCCGCGAAGATTTGTAATCGTGCTATGCACTAATATAGGACTGAAATCATTTTTACTAATAAATAATTTATACAGTTAAAAACAGATCAATAAAAATTAGTAGTAAAATAAAATAGCACTGATTTCAAACTTAAATTTAATAAAATTAATTGCATCTAAATTAAATTAAATAATTAAATTTAAAGTTAAACTTACCCTTTTGTTTTGGTGTTGTTGTAACTTCAGGGGTAGTTGTTGGCAAAGAGGTGGTCGTTTCTGAAGTTGGTGTGGTTGTTGATAGAGGGGTGGTTGTTGGTTGAGGTGTGGTTATAGTAGTGGCGGTCACTGGAATGGTGGTATTTTCTTGAGGCGTAGAAGTTGGAGTAGTGGTAGTTTGTTGAGTGGTGGTGGTAGTCGATATGGGATCCGGAGGCGGCAGGCTCTCTTTGGAACAGTACTTAACAATGATAGTCGGTCTAAATTCGCATTCAAATAATTCTGTATAGTCACTTTTACATACCGGATACCCAAGAATAAATTCAGGCGGTTCTGGGGGTGGACCTAAAAATAAAGTGATGTTGTTAAAATACAGATATGAAAAATATAATTTTAGAAAATAAACACAAAAGTATATTTAACTTTGAAAACTTTAAAAAAAAAAAAAAAAAAAAAATAACGAGGCTTCTGATTTTAAAAATCTTTGTTATTAAATATAAAAGCTACGGCTGAATCATCGTCATCCTCATCATTTCTATGACCAGTTGTGGCCGTAGGGTAGTTGTGCAGTTGAGCACCTGACCAGCTCTCTCCTTGTGTCTTGGTTGCGTGACAAAAGGGGACAGTGAAATTTTCCTCAAAGCTGCATTCTTCATGGATTGTTCCTTTTAAACATCTAAGACTCCATGCCATATTTGAAGCTGATAAGTCGAGGTTTGGTCTGCAGCATTTGCAACTGAAATTTAAAAATTTACTTGTGTTGGTGTTGTGTAATATACATTAGACATATTCAGTTTTTTTTCATTCATTCTTTCGCATTTCTTATCAGGTTAACTGATCAATTTGTTATTGAGATGGCTACTGTATTAACGCTGTCTTTCTTTACGGCAACAAATGTTGAACGGTGAAGAAGAGACTCGAGGCGACGGAGATGTGGTTCTACAGAAGGATGCTGAGGATATCATTTCTGGGATATATAATGAGGAAGGAGGGCCTGGAGAATCTGAGACTCACGGGTCGAATAGAGGGAAAGAGAGACAAGGAAAAACGCATGACATACCTAGCAGCCTTAAGCAAGAGAATGACAGAACGTGGGTCTGGAGGAGGTGCAAGAGGGAAGGAACTTGTTGAGAGCTACAAGGGATAGAGTGTGGTGGAGAACTATGATCACCTACGTCCTGAAAGGACACGGCACATAGAAAGAAAGACTGTATTAACGAGGGCAGCCATAGATCATGCATTGTTTGGCATGAATAAATAATATCTATTTTTTTGGTGTACAGTAAAAATTGACGAAAAGTTGATCGCGATGCTGCAGGGAAAGTGGGCATGAAATGACCTAAATTTTTTCACTACTTCCTAGCGTGCCAATGTATCTGAATGATATCCTACTCGTCAGTCAATTTTGCCTCCGTTTGCTTCCTTTTCTTTTGTTTAAGTTGAAACTTCATAGGACAGCAGTGAAAAAATTGTTGGTTTTTATGAAATACCCATACGATTTCAACATTCTCTTCTTGACCGTGAATATGCGGTCTTCCAATGGGGCCATTTCTTACTTGACAGTGTCTCATACTGCATCATTTGGGATGGGCCAACGTAGGGGATTTCTAATGCTTCGCTGTTTTTCTGCTGTTAATGTCCAAGGTTTATGGTTGCACAGAAAGACTGAGAAGGCCACCTAAACTGTCAGTAAAACTGTCGGTAAAAAAAAAGGTTTTGAATGAATGAAGCCTGAAGGTCTTACCAAAGATGCTTCTTCTTTGAACATTGTGGACTGGCGCTACAGAATCACAAACATTATGTACCAAATAACGGGAAACCACATCACTTGATGACTACCAGCAGCAGCAACAACTAAAATCGATAGCACATGTAACTCGAAGATAAAATAATGACATAGTCAATAGGTTGACATTCCACATTACCCCAAACAAAAGCCTAGGAAGGAAATCCCTGTCGATACTAGAAAGAGCAATATCAGCAACTTGAGATGAGAAACCCGTTTTTCTAAAAAGTTGTTTTAAGAGAAAGATTTTATAAATATCAACCGAAAACAGTACTGGCTGTTCGGTTAAGGAATACCAAATGTTTCCTTATAGGGAAACGGCTAATATTACCGTTGTATGCAGCAGTCGTTGATTTCAGGCAGTCGTTCTAGGTGTTTTCTTAGTTTTGCGACAATTTTCATTTTTTGTGCTGCTCTTGAAATTATTCATGTTCTGAAGACTTCTTTGCGAATAATCGAGCCAAAATAATTGAATTGTCTCACAACTGGCCGTGCGTCTCGAAAAGGACCTCCAGTCGGTTGTGAACTGGGGCAGGAATTGGCTGGTCAACTTTAACGCTTCAAAAACAAAACTGCTCTCTATCAATCACCACAGAGATCCTTTCCTGACCCCCCCCCCCCATTAGAATGTCTGACGCTCAATTTCTCGAGAGCAACTCTCTGCAGCTGCTCGTTCTCACGTTGACTGCTGACCTGAGATGGAACAAATACATTGAGTCAATTGCTTCGTCCACCGCAAGGAAAGTTGGCTCCTGTACCGCACCAGGAAATTTTTCTCCGCGGAATCGATCCTCCAGATCTACAAATCAACAATTCGCCCTTGCATGGAGTATTGCTGCCATATATGGTCTGGTGCCCCTTCTGTTTGCCTCGGGTTCATGATAGGCTCCAGAGGCGGATATGCAATATAATTGGTCCTGGTCTGGCATCTCGTCTACAGTCACTTTCTCACAGACGCGCCGTCGCCTCTCCGTCTGTCTTTTTACAAATACTTTCATGGTAATTGCTCCGAGGAGCTGCATTCGCTGGTTCCCAGACTTCATGAGTTCAAGCGCCCTACGAGGCTGGCATCCCGCTCTCACCCCTTCACTGTCGAAACTCCTAAATGTAGCCGTCTCTTCTACTCCAATAGCTTCATGTCTCGCACCTCTCGCCTGTGGAACTCCCTTCCCTATTCCAGTTTCACTGAGAACTATAATTTCCAACTATTCAAATATAATGTCAATCGACATCTCCAGTTGCCTTGATCTATCCACTATCCTTCTCTTCATCCTTTCTTCTATCACTCCTATCTGATCTTGCTCTAAATTTTCTGTAACCCCTTGCGTCCTAGTGGCTTGCTTGAAATCCATTGTTCGTCAAGAGTTTTTATTTTTTATTTATTTATTTTGTACTTAACGCCCCCTCTGTGCGCATACTTTGGATATTATTTATTTATGACTGAATTTATTTCTGAAAAGGGAATTTTGTCAGAAAAATTGACTGAAATTTAAAGCCAATAATTCAAAGCCAATCTTTAATTTTTTTAAATCTTAAAATATTTATATTTTTAAAGATAAGTCCCCAAAGAAATCAAATTGATTGAAAATCTTATTTTAAGCTGAAGAAAATTATGCTCTGAACCAAAAAATAAAAGTAGAATTTTGTTTCGAATCTTTGAAATTGTTTTTTTAATAACATATGGCGTAGATTTTCGGGTTGTGAAAAAAATTGTT